CTTTGCACCACTTGGCTGGCAAAGGAGAAATTAAAACACATTTTGGTTCCATGTTGTTTTTAAGCTAAGGTTGAGAGTTAAGCTAAGTCATGCTGTCTATTCACAGCATAAGAACATGGTGATTTCCACAGGTATCTTAATCATCAAAACCAATTAAAATATTAGGATGATAGGCTGAATTCATAAATACAGAAGATAATCATTGAAGCACAGCTCAGTGCCCCACTGGAAGAGCAGCCCCATTCTCAGCACCTCTCACCAGTCAAAGGCACACCAGGAAGGGAGCCACCCAGCTCTGCACTTTCATTTTATTGTCATGGTACTTGCACTTAAAAATTAATTCCTCATGTAAATTAACAAGGTAGGAGGTAACATGTTGTGTAACTTACCAGTAATTTCCAGATGGACATTTTTCTGACCACTGCCATTCAAACAACTTCCTGTGGCAGTAACTCGGGACTCCTTGAGCTTGGAAGCTTCTAGGAGAGATGTGAGAAGCTGAGAGCAGTCGGTACGCAGGGGGACAGGACTCTGAGGAGGAGCTCATGTCACCTTATCAAGGAAACTGTTGTGTGAAATCTTTAAAAACCAGTTCAAAACATTTTTATGGCTGTTCCAAAGTATAACTTAAAAATTTGGAGACGGGCTCCTATAAAAGTTCCGGAGGTTGAAGTGAAAACTTGCATTCTGGGGTGGGTAGGCTAAATACATATGTAAACTATACTGCACTATTTCCTTATTCCTTTTAACACTTACAAATCACTGGAATGCTACACCTAACATGTATGTGCATTGTAAATATTACAAATTCCTATATTAGTGCCAACAACTAAATGACAAAATGTAATCTAAGGTGCTCAGTACTATATGAAGTCTAAGTGAATAACTAAGCAGATGCAAAGAAAATTCATATTATATATATTTATAAAAAAAATAATGATAATTACAGATGCTATTTCTTCATTTTCAGATTTTGGACTGATTCATATTTGGATGAGATAGACAAATGAAATATGAACCCTACTCCACATTTATAAGAATATAGTGAATATTTATATTTTAGAGGAAAAGAATATATTTAATAAAGTCATTTATTGGATTTTTGTGAGGTGAGCTTACTTTGTATCCACACAAACTATCTGGAAGGCTGTCCTTTGGTTTTGGGCTGGGAGAAATACATTTAAACTTCAGTGCTTCTGTTACATGAGAGAACTGTTAATTGCATTGGTGGAATGACGTAAAAACTTAAAATAAAAAAAAAAAAACAAACCTGAAATCCCACTGGGATGTTTCAGGGCAGGTCATTCAGACATCTCTGCTGAAGTTGCAATACTTTCTTCTGTCGCTTATACTAGACTAGGTGGTAACACAAGACTTAGGAAAAAAAATAAGAAAAAGCAAAAGCTTCTGCATTCAAGGACTGAGGCCAACATGTGCCTTTTTTCTCTTACAAATGGTTATGGGAAAAGAGATTTTTTTTCCTCCTTTGATTTAATGCTTAACTTAGTGGCCCAAAAAGAAAATCTAACTGTGGGAATTTAAGTCTTTTCTTTCAGTCTGACCCAAGTTATGACAGAACAGCCTCATGGAAAGCCTAAAACAGGATATTCCAGATTTTCCCAAAATAATGGCTATAAATGGAATGATCTTATCAGAAAATTTGTATAGCAGCTTCACCATGAGAAAGATTGGGACACATATTGGAGCAAAAATGTTATTGGAAAAATGTGCTCTAAAGTGTTTGTTAAAAAAAAAATAAATAAAGCTGATCTGATTGTATTCAGGGAATCATACTGGTGTTTTTAATAGTCCTGCCCTTCAGATGAAACCAAGTATCTCTCTTAAAGCACTTTGGAAATCAGAACGAGATTCTTGACATGCTACCAAGCAAATCACCCCCACAAACACCATTAGAATTGATCCTTTGCAAATAACAAAATGAGTGCTTTCATTCTGCAGAATGTTAGAATCTCTTCCTCCCACAGCATATGGCAGCACACTCCATCCAGCCCTTTGCATGGGGAAGCTCAGCTGATTTGAAGGGGAGATTGATCTGATTTCCACCTGAAAGCATTCTCAGTGTTCTCAGTGTCTTCTTACCCATGCTTAAAAGTTAATTGGAGCTTCTTTGGTTTCAGTGGAAGCAGAATCAGAGCCTAAAGAAATTACATGCTCCAGATCATTACATTGCCACTGATTTCTGAATTTATGTTATTTTTCATAGAAGTCAAGCTGGCAGATTGATAACTAACTATTTACTGAGTCTATTTACTATATAGAGAGACCATTAATACAGTAAATATTACATATTTATATGTAATAACACTGTGTATATTGTGGACACTTTTGAATTCAGTGGTGGCTTCAATTTTAAAGAGCAGATACTAACAATATGCTTGGAAAATTTTGAGAAACTCAGTCTGCTTACTGTAAGTGAACCCCCAGACTAACCAGGGCAAAAATTTAATTTAAAAGAATGAGAAAAACATTTTAAATATTTAACAGAGATGATAACCTCCTGTTGAACATAATCACCTGCTTTTCCCACATGGGATTTGCTTTTCATTTTTTTTTCCTTCATCAGAATTTCCATGCTTGTGGTAAATAATGAGGCATTAGGAAACAAATTTAGAAAACAAATTCCAGGGGAGAACTATGAATTGGGACAAGCATTAGTACCCCCAAGGTAGTTCTGTGGTAGCTCAGTGATATTCATCACATAATTGCTGTAATATTACAAGTAATCATATCACCAAGTAGTTGCAACCACATCAGTGCTGTCTCACCCCAGTCCTGTGGGGAATATAAGCACATAACATGGATGGACGATGTGCTTCTAATATAATACATAATATTATTATATTATGCTATGTTATATTACACACTTACTATACAGGATGGCTGGATTATGGGTAAACCAGAAATGTGTTCTGGTGACATTTGATATATGGTGATACATGACTTATATCCTGACTTGCAAAAATCATGAAAGCAAGCACCCAAAAGATGCATAAGGCAGACTGGATTTGGGATTCAGCAGCCACAAACAAGAAAATAATTTGAATTTCAGAGGTAATGGGTGATGTTACATTCTGCAACACTTAAGTTACAGCACATAGGCTGAGCTGCAGGAACTCTCAGTGTGGGGTTTTGGAACTATGACAGATATAAAATAATTTAGTTTAGTGCTGTTACAGTGGACCAGGTCAAATTATTGTGCCTGCTTTTTTGTAGGTTAAGAGCATGGACAGGGACAGTTATCACAGCTCAAAAGGGGCACAGTGTTATTAAGCCACAATAATAAACCAGCCACCACATGCCCTAAAAAGACACCAACACAAAGAGCAAATGAGACATGGGTAGCAGTATATTAGTTTTGCGCTGGGAATTGTGCAAAAAGCCAATACATCAAAATGCTTATGTTTCCCTAACTGCTTTCCTGCTGATTATTTCAGGCCAGCCTTTGAGTCTACAAAATTAATTAAACCAATAACCATTAAGTTCTACTTGAAGTTCAAGAAAAACAGTTCAAAGTATTAATTACTTTCCTGAAGGTATTTTCTTTGCTTATGGCAGCTAGCCTCAAGGATTTATGAAATGTAGAGCTTCTGTACTTTTACTTATCAGCCTATGTATAATTATTAACTACCAAGTTTTTCTAATTACAAATACATAAACTTCCCCAAATTAAGTAGAAAATACAACTTTTGGTGGTTTACTTTAGTATTCAGACAGAAATATCAGCATTCAGGCTGAAGAGATAAGGCTACAGCTTACAACTTTTTTCTCTCTGAAGTAGAGACTTTCTTGATTCACTATAAGATATTAAGAAAGGTTAATGTCTTAATTATTTTCTTGTTTTCTATATTGAATGCAAAGAAATCTGAGCCATACACAGTAATCATTATGTTGGAGCAATTTCGTGAGTAGACTTATTAAATGATTATTTAAATGTCCTTCATTGCATTTCTATTTTACCAAATCACTAAAACTGGGATGCTGTGGATGTGTGGCATTCTGCAGACAAATAGAATCCATCTCACAAGTAGTTATGTTTGTCCTGGGCTTAGATGCACACAGTACTCACTAGAGCCCACTGTCACAGCAGAACAACTTCAGAGCTCTCCTACTGCAGCTCAGTTAAACCCAGTACACACCCACTCAGAAAAGGTCTTGTGGAGTTCAGAACAATGGTAAACTTGGGAACAAAGGAACAGAACAGTTTAACTCAAGATCCTGTTAGACATGTAAAACCTCCTTAGGGCTCAGCTTTAACCAAATAGAATTAAGCAAAGAATAATGTCACAAAATCAGGAATTCTTTTTAGATAAAGCATAGATTTTACAGTATTAAGTCCAACCTCCACATGGTTTAGTTCAATTACTTTTTCACTACATTGTATTTAATTTCTATTTGTATTGATTAAACTATTTTCCTACCAGGATAATATAGCAAACAATAGCCCTGCATCTGTCAGTTTTAATACTGTTAGCTTATATGATAAATAGGAAACCCTTAATAGAGAAAGCTCAGTAGGAACTTCTCATCTCAACAAAATACTAAATTGAATAATTACACCAGTCCCAGCCAGGTGCATGCCAGAGACTTAAACAAACTGAGGCCAAATTTAGTATCTTACTGTGTTTGCAACATAGCTAGAAACTCTTTTTTCCCTTTACATTTCAGCATAGCACACCAGCTCTTTTCCAGCTCTTACCATCCTCATTACCACTACTGCTTTGATTTTCTCCTCTTCCAGGAAAAGAAATCAGACTTCTCCTTAGATATTTTTCTAAGGAGTGTTACAAAGAGCATGCAGGAATTTATATCAAAATTCAGTTTGTAAAGCAAAGAAACTTTCTTTAAGAGGAGCCTGCATCAAGTTTCAAGCCAAGCTTTTTTTCTTCCTTATATTACAACATAGAGATTATTATTCAAATTCTGATTATCTATTATGTATTCTGATTATGTATTATTATGTATATGTATTATGTATTGTTTTCACCTGCAAAATAGGAACTGTTCTTTAAATTAGTGTATAAAATGTTAACAGCCAATGCTGTAAACAGCTGTTTATACAAGAGCAAGCTGTAGTAAGTAGAACAGAGGTCTTCACACAGAAAGGTAAAACGAAGTAGTAGGTATCAAAATTAAATATGTGGGGTTTTTTATTCGTATAAAAACCAAATACACTGGTTGAAAAAGATACAAAGCTTTATAAACCAAGTCAAGCTATATTCATTTTAACAAACATAATAAATACACATATAAAATGCAATCTCTTTTCATTTGAATTTAAAAAAAAATTAAAACTTTCAGTATAAGAAGTTTCCAACCATCCTCCTGTGCTTGAAGAATGAGTCTATATAATTCCACTGACCAAAGTCCTCCCAGTGTGCAGATCTGTGTGTGCATTGGGCAGTATAAAGCTTCTCCAGTCAGAAGTGCTCTCTCCACAGCTCCTGGGAAGGTGTGAATGGAATCCACAGTGCCTCTACTTGCCAGTCTTCTCCAAAACCCATTCAATCACCTGGGCAAATAAATGAGGATGCAAACAATTTACGTAACTCCTGATTTTGAAAGCAAATTAAGAACATCTCACAGACTTTATCAATTCTTCCTTTAGTCATTTGTCACTATATGTGTGGTATTTACTAAACAGGATTTAAAAGCAAACTATTCAAGAGGAGCAAGTGTTATTAATCAACTGAGAGGGAAGAGCATTACCCTAGAATTGTATTTAATCTTACAGAATACTTTGTCTTTAGGAAAAGGTATCTTTAACCCCTGAACTACTTCACCCCATTCTCTCCATATACCAGCAAGAAGTGCACATAATGCCAAACAGCTCATGCTTCCAGCAGTAAATGTTCTTAATGCCAGAGAAGAAAGAATAAAGCATAATTTGTGCACTGTTGTATCTACCACCATTATCATTGCTGCTTTCTGAACAGGGCAGTTGTTCAGACCACTGACTAGTCCTTGGCAATTATATTTTTGTACAGTAATTTCAAAATACTCTCTAATATGTAAGCAGTTTAGGAGAACACCAATTTTAATGCCTTTTTGTCAACAGCAAACATACAAAAACTACCCATTTTCTGCCCAAAGATGGAGGTGGGAAGCAGTGTATCAGCACAATAGCCCAGTTCAACACCAAACATCACAACCCATATAGTTTTTGAAACCTTACCATCCATACAAAACAATCCACAAAGGAATACAGCACAGAACACAGCAAATACTGCTCTCATAGAATAAATTCTATATTCTAAGATTTAGCAGCTTTTTTGAGAGTGTGTTCTATTACTTACCTACTTCAGTTCAAATTCTTCCATTTAATTTATGATTATAAAAACTGTACTGTAATTATGGATGACACTTTTTTTCCTTTTCTTCTTTTTTCCCAAATTATGGAGTCACTTCAGTCTATGTCTCAGAACTTAAATCAGAGTTGCTTAATTTCTGGAGGAATATTTGCTTCTGTCATTTGCTCTGTGCTGCTGTTCATGTAAGTCCCACGTTAGATAAAAATAACCTGACCTAATATCCCTTGTGCTTACAGTTACTCAGAAGCCTAAAATTACTGATTTTCATTGCTTCTTTTAAAAAATTTATTTCCTTTTATAGACCTGCTTATTACTTCCTAACCTTTGAAATTTTATTTCCTTCAACACAAGAAAAGAATTTGCTAATAAGCCTAATTAAAGAAAAACTTTTTTTTTTCCTTCAGTGATTTAGAAACATTTATTGTCTTCATTTCCATTTCTCACCATGGCACATCATCTCTGCAGCTGTAACTAAAATACCATCCAAAACCTGGATATTTTGCCTTGGGACTACTGACAGAGAGAGTTTGTGTGAGATGAAACAGGACCCACAGCCGAGGGTATGCACCTCCTCATCTCTTAAAGCTATGGACTAAACCAAGGTGCCACAGCAACATTTAGCCTTGGCTATGTACAGGAACAAATAAACACATGACCTTACCTGTTTGGCATTGCTATTTGCTGTTTTCTTCATTTCATCTAGAAGTCCTCTAGAAGTTTTAAGGTCCTAAATATGAAACAAAAAGCCACATTAGTCAGCAAATTCATGTGGTCACTCTAATTTGGGTTATAAGAGCCCTGTTGTTCAGAACAACAGAATTATCTTACATTGCTTTTTTAATTAAAAAAAAAGGAAAATAATTTAAATTTATTCCAATGGCCAGCAGGTTTCCTTACAGCAGTCCAAACCTAGTACTCAACGACTGAGTCTTCCTAACCTTCTGCACGTTTTGCAGAATTTCCAGAACTTTTTTTTTCTTCAATGATATTCAAAGTTCTTACAGTCTTGGTCTGTTTGTATATAAACATGGAAATCAGCTGTGATCTTACCCTGTAATACAGAGTTCTGGCAAAGAACAGAGAAACAGACATCAGAAAAGAAAATGGGTGCAGAAAAGGGAAAAATCTAGAATGGCTTTTCTGTTTTGCAGTCCATTTAATGAATTTTTTTTAACCTAGTCTACTCCTTCAAACAAAGAAAGAACAAAACTTTGCCTGAAGAGAAAGAAAATTAATTTACTACTTGTCTCCAGATGAAAATGATACCTATGTTACCTTGCTTTTGAATTATGCAGCACACAAAAGGATTCAAAGGACTCCCAGACTTGGAGCTGCAAGACAGTTCAGGAGAATAAAATCCTGACACCTCTCTCCAGAAAGGACAGGATCACTGCCATATTCTTCCTTTTCCTTTTCTACTTGGAATGGAACCACAGTCCCTGATTTGCTCTACATCCCTACATGCATCCCTTTCTGATTTTGGATTAGGAGATCTTCCTTCAGGACATATTTCAGGGAGATTTTGGGAGCACTTATAGAGTGACTGCACAACTGTTTTCCAATTATTTAAGAAGCTGGTGGTTATCAACAAGGTGTTCTGATTGTGCAAGCATCCAGTCCTGTTCAACTTTCATTTAGCTTAAAGCACCATTACTGAAGTTGACTAAACTGAGCTGGTTCACCCATAGCAGTAGGTTAAACAGCAGCTCAGTTTGTGAGCAACAGCTTTTAATCATTCCATACTGTAATTAACTTGATTTTGTGCTCAGACCAACTACCATGGGCTTCAGTATTGACTCACAGTCTCCTCCTGAGTGTTGTGGAAAGAATTCTCATCTTCCCCTAAACATGAGGCTGATGCAATTCTGTGGGGTGCTGCTGAGCCAGTATGCGTTAGATAATAGAGCACATCATGTCAGGGAATTGCAATTTCGGAGTCAGTTCTGTAAGCTACTTATTGAACCAACAACCTGAGAAAAAGGGAGAAGTGGGGCTGTCACAGCTACAGCTGGGAGATTCTCTATTGCTTCCTTAGCTGTCACAGCTCTAAGAGTGACCTGACCTAACAGGCCCATGCTCTAGCATATTATTTCACTATGCATAAAAGGCTAATGCTTTAGAAGGTTTTAAAATAAACAAAACCCCACCAAAATATACTGTAAAACTATCTTCTGCATTCGACAACAAATCCAAAGGTTTCTCCACACAATCTACACATTACAAACACACCACTGGGAAATATTAGCTTGATCAACTCTGAATATCCCATATGGTCTCTAAAGTTTTATTCAAGAGTGGCTTTACTTAACTAAGAATAAAAAACTCTAAGAGTGTGTCTTCCAGTTACCTTTAAGTAGAATTTTGATATCTCAAATAGACGTTGGCTGCATGATGCAAAGCACTTATGATCCTCTGCAATTCCATGTTTTTGAAGAGTCTTAGCAACCACTTCCTTCAGCATCTTGGAAACAGAAGAAACACACCCAGCAGCTCATCAACTATTGACATGAAAAATTGTCAAGGGGAGCAAAAAAACCCAAAACAGAAAACCTGATCTTTTGTGATCTTGTCTGTCTTAAATCTATTGCCAAATGCGATCTGCTCACTGCCTGAATTGGAGCAGAGTTGTTTAACAATCTATTTCCATTCCCTTTATTTTTAAAAAAATAAGAAAATGCTTACAATGTCAAGGATCAGTGAATATTCACATGGAGCTTGGAAGATTAAAAAAAAAAGTCAATATTATTTTGGGTTTTTCTTCTCCAAAATAATATATATATATAAAGATCAGTTTTTGCTTTACTGATACTCCCTTGTTTGATGCATACATATTAAAAAAAAAATTTAAAAATCTGACACTAAAGTCTCATTAGAAAATTTCCTCTGACATTCTTTACATCACAGATGTTTAAACTCTGCTGCAGGTCTGAATGAGTCACACCAATTTATGCTTCCTTGGACCATTCCAACTTGCCTTTGACAGTACATTAGCATTCATGCAGTGTTCTCCTTATACCCAGGGATTAATTTAAAATTAGTATCAGCAAGCCAGAAACAGTTTTGTGTACTGTATTTAAGAACAGGCATTCCTAATACACACAGCTGTTAATTAAACACTATTCCACCAAATTATTTAACTGCTATCTCAATTAATGGATTTACAGAACAACTGGAATCTCTTTATTCTCAAAATAGTCTGTTCCTCCGCAATGCCTTTGACCCTTCCAGTATATCTGTATCTATATATCTATATCTATATCTATCTTTGGTGCCTTTAGGTTTTATATTAATCATCTATATTTCATAACTCCTATTAATTGATATTCACTTCCACCTTTTTTATTCTTCACTGTTATCTCTCTCAGCCTTAATTCCTTGGGCATGATAAAATTTCCTTTACACACTTTTTCATTGCTTCACTCTCCTTGGTGCCTTCAGGATTCACTTACACAAGTGAACAGAATGAAATTCAGTAAGAAATTCAGATGAAGATAGTTCACCTTGAGTTTAAAATTTTTTAAAAAGCAAGCCCCATGGGAAAAAGCAAAACAGCTGCTTTTTCACTAAAAGAACAAGGTAGATTTTTACCCTCGTGTGCTTCTGGGATCTTGATTCCTTCTCTGGCTTTGAGGCCTCAGGCTCTGCAGCTGAGCCAGCCTTGATGGTTGCTCTGTGGGCTTGGCTGGGCAGTTTTGATGGCACTGCAGCCACAGAAACGGATCTTTCTGAGCACTTCCTCGTCACACCAACTGCACAGTGACTCCTGCTGCTCCCACTTGCCTGAGACAGGAGGGAGTCTGTACTCTCAGATTTGGTTAGCCTAGAAAGAATAATTAAAAAAAAAAAAAACAATAAAAATAACTTTCAGGTTTTGGACTGACTCTTTTAGTGCCACTGTTTCTGCTACAGAGGCTGCTGCTTTAGAGCTTTAAGTACTGAACATTCCTGCAAACAACATCTGAAAAGGACAGGAAGACAGGATTCTATTCTGTAAAATTTTTTGTATTAAAAGAACACTCTGCTGACTGGATTGGCCTCTTATACGTAGACCCATTGCACCTCCAATTAAAAAGGTCCAGCAACAAATTCAAGAAATTAGGTAACTAAGAAAATAAAACTCTTGGAAGGAGAATTGGCCTCCAGTCTTAGGATGAGACAAAACTTCTTGAAACTAATTTCTTTTGGCCCTATAGGAATGTCACAATTCACTTTAACTACAGGAAGTTGGGCATTGTAATTCTATGGGAACATAGTTATCCTTGATCCTTCAACTTGTAAGAGCACTAATAATTCCAAACTCCAATTTACAAAATGTTAGGTATAATCACATTTTCTTTTGTAACTATTCAGTAAGCTGAAAAAGATATACATATTTCTAAACCAAGACCTCTATTAAAGGCTTATTGTGATTAGAATGCAAAGGGTATCAAACTGGAAATAAGGAATAAGTGAAGTATTACAGTAAAAAAAGTGAATGTGGAAATAGTGTTACCTAGCAGTTATTTTTCAGTGACAGAGTTTGCAACTTCAGAATGAGAACAAGGTTCAAATGGAAATCTTAAAAAGTAAACTTCCAGAAAAGACTTTAATAAACAAGGCTGATAATAAGATTGAATTTTGGTAGGTCATCTTATGCCAGCAGTCGTTTGGATTAGAAATTCAATTATTCTGTTTGTACAATCCTTGGCTTTCTAAACCTTTAGTTATTTATTCGTAGTGCAGGAGCACTGACTGTTTCAGTCCTAGATGAGGCTATCTGTCATCTTTTCAAAGGCACTTGAGACTGCAAGATAGAACCCCAAATCTACTAAATAAAGTGTGCCTGTGCTGCATGGTTTCGATTAATCTAATGCCATTGATGAGAGATCACACTTGAGAAAAAAATGAACCTACAGAAGAGGATTAAACAACTAGAACATTTGTCTAGATAGCTTCACTAAAACATTTTGAGATGAAAGAAAAGATGTGGTTCACAAGAGACTACTGAAACATTTCACGCTTAAGGTTCATTTTATTCAGTGCATTACCTTTTCTTGGGATAAAAGTAATCCAGGTCTTTTGATCTGCATTTTAGCCTTGATGTCTCTGTTTTGAATTCACTTTGTAAAGACTCTCCATCAGGGACACTTCCAGGCTCTGACAAGACTGCAGGAGATGGCAGAGGACTCAAGACAAGTGGCACAGGGCAGCACTCCTTTGTGCAAGTTGTCTGAGTTTCGTAGCGAATAAGACGAGTTTGAAGTTCAGCATATCCCACATCTCTCTCCAAGGCTCTTCTGTTATCTAGACAATATCTAAAATTGAAATTGGGTGAGAAACCTGTGAGAGAAAGTCTCTGCTTTATTATAATCAGGAAAACTTTTGACAATCATGTGAATGCCAAAACTTTTATTTTTGTTTGAACTGGTGTACTGTTCTTTAAGACAACTTTTAACAGCCCAGTAAATTAATACTTGCCCAGTAGATTTTGCTATACTTAAGTCCAACCCAAACAAAGAAGCTGAATTATATATTATTTGTAACTCTTTACACTGTTCTTACAAGATTTCCACGGACCTTAGCAGAAATTTTTCCTTGAACAAACTCTTTCAAATGCAACTTTTAGCTGTCTGAGATAAACACTGCTCTATGAGGGATTCACGTTTTTTAAGTACTAAAAATACAAAAAAAGTATCACTGAGCAAGCACAAGCTTCCTATTGACTACAATGAATAAGTGGCTTACTCAAGCAAATCAACAGAAAAAACTGTTTCAGTGGGGCTGAACTGGAACAAATGAACAGTGCTAACTCAGTAAAACACAAAGATAACACAAAATGCATCTTAAATAACTTTTCTCTGGTGTAGATGATTTTCAGTATTCCTTGCAAGAGAACAGTATTTCATCACCCAGTATTTTACTGTAGTGCATGGAAAGATAACAGTAAATCTTGTATTATTTCAGCCTCTTTGTTACAAAATATTTTGTGCAGTGTAAGCTATTGCTCAGCCCACCGTTCAAACTGCTCAGCAGTGTTTCCTACTCTTAGGAATGCAAGACACGTTCTTTACTTTTAGCTCTTAAATGAAGCCATGTTAAATTGCTAGTTCTGATGTTTCCACCTTCTTCAGAGTATTTTCGTATTTAGGGAGAAATTAGTTTTTCTAATAACTGGCTGATGAATCCATTTCTACAGTTGAGAAAGACCTTCCACTAGAGATGAATTCATTATCTGATAAGAGAGTAAGTTGTCTTGACTTAAAAATTTTAAGGTATTTAGTTTTTCTTATTTATAGTCTCAGTCCCAAGTAGTAACATACCCTACAAAGATACAAAAAATCTATTTAACTTTAGAAGGCAAATTGTCATTTTACTCACTTCTTTAATGGCAATTGCTTTCTCTTTGCAAAACAGCATTCAAGTATCTGGCACAATGTTCATTACACCAAAAATCTGATCTGATCATAAACAGGAACAGCCTCATGTCTTCAGCCATCCCAATAATCTGTTGGAGGGCCAATACGCAGGGCAGAGGCAATCGAGGCAGTCCCTGGAATGCACTGGTAACTTCCTTCCCTGAGTGAGGTGAGGAGCTATGCTGGACCTTGTGCCCACCAACAAGGAGGGGGTGGTGGGGAATGTGTAGCTCAAGGGTAGCCTTGGCTCCAGTGACCATTAACCAGTGCAGTTTGAGATCCTCAAGCAGCAAGGAGAGCACACAAGCTCACCCCTGGACTTCAGGAAAGCAAAGCAGTTTGCCATTGACACCAAGCTCTGTGGTACAGTCAACACCAGGGAAGGGGTCCCATCCAGAGGCTTGAGAGGTGGCCCTGTGCAAACCTTATGAGGTTCAACAAGGCCAAGTGCAAGGTCCTGCCCCTAAATAAGGGCAATACCAGCACAAATGCAGGCTAAGTGAAATATTAATTAAGAGCATCTCTGGGAAAAAGGATGTGAGATATTGGTGTTCCTACCCATGTCATGGAGGCTGCATCCATGATCTTTAAGGTCCCTTCCAACACAAACCATTCTATGATAACTGCTACTCCTTGATTTTTGACAAGACTTTACTTCCAAATATAAATACAGCAGCTGGACAGATGAAAACTGCATAGTACCAAACACATCTGCCCCAAAACCACAATACTCTTGTTAAAATACCTCTCACTGCTTCCCTCCCATACTGCTAAGCACATTGCCCCTGCAGTATTAACATGCCAGGATCTTCCTCCTCTCCACAATACCCAGGCCTCCCTGTGGTCATATTTTGCTAGGAGAAGAGGCAGCACAAGCTGTGCTGTGCTTAATTTGAAATCTCAGGCACACTTTGCTGAGGTCAGGCAGGGAAGCAAGATACCACATAGCAACAGACAAGTTGCTTCTTCTCACACCTACCATATGTATTTCTCTTTTCTACCCAGCTGCCTCTCATGGGCCACTTATTATTATAAATTATTAGATTTATAAATCTAAAAAGGCTAACAGACTCATGAGTTACCATTTAGAAAAAGAGGTAACAAAAGAGATAAGAATGCTTCACTGCCCTTGAGAGCCTGGCTAAAACTACCAGATATTAAACACAGGCTTAACCAAACGGTAAAACTGATAGGAAAAAATACCAGCAACATTGTTAGCCACATTCTGATAATCTGATCATTTGAAAATGTGATTTTAGGAAGCAGCAGAAATTTGCACAGAAACTGAACTAACTATGCTTGGTATCCACTGCATTTCTTAATATATACTGCACTAAGATTGTCTATATGGGAGAATTATTAATTATCTGCTCCAGCATTTCTATAGCCTTTTTCCTTTTCCCCTCAATGTCAATATTTGTATTTTTCTAAACTATTTTTATACAGTCACATTATGTGACAGTTTTCCCATTTATTTGCTTTGACAAATAACTATTTCTGGCTGGCTGAGATTAACTAACAGTCCTAACCATATAGATCCTTTTGAATGTTGTTACCACTAACACTTGCCTGCTGGTGTTTTCAGGTTCCCTGAACATACAGGTAGCAGCATCACAGCAGCTCTCAGTAAACCTTTTGACTATTAGTCTGGAAGAGTCTACAATTAAATACCAAAGCAGAAACTATGTATGTACTTAAAGCATGTGTTTCTGAGGAACTTGATACATACAAAGAACCCCAATTCCCTTGCCATTTTTAGTTCTGAAAAAAATTTTCAGAGACACTGAGAATAGATACAGCAGTACAACTGAGAAAAGAAGACCTTCAATGTTTCTACAAACATCAGGCATCAAGGCAGGAATGTTGAGATTTAAACCAGTGACATTTAAGCCATAATTAACATACCCTTAACATGTTGCTTGAAACTTTTCTAACTATACCTAGCCTGGAAAATAAAAAATAAATCTGGGAAAAGAAGCCAGGAAACTTACTCGAGTCCATGATAATAGCATCCAGCTGCTTTTTCAAAAGGCAAAGCTCTGAGTTTTCTAGGAGTAAGCTCTGGTGTCAAAAGAAATGTAGTTTCACTGAAAGGAGAAAAATAAAGACCTATTTTAACCAGTTACTGTCAGGATAAACTATACTTCCAAAAATCAGAAACAAATGCCTTGACATAGGAAGAACAAAACAGCATGTCTTGCAGCTAAGCCTCTAGGATAAGGCATCAATGGGAAATTAAATCTGTATTGAAGTGAGAATTTAAATTCAACTAATTCCTACTGAGCTATTATTTTTACAAAAGCTCTTAGACATTTCTCAGACAGTTAAGGTCACTGCTCCAAATAATTTACCAATAAAACTAGGAAAATATCACAATGTCACAATGGGACACCTGAGTAGTGGAATGAACTGAGAGGAACTGGCAAGTGACCTCCCATATTTCACACACACTATAAGTAGTGAATTCCTTCCCTTTGGCTTCAAGTTGTTGCCTCGTCCAACACTCATCTCTCCCAGATCTCAGAACTAAGGGCTTGTTTCCTGGGATATTTCAATTCCAGCTAGTAACTCTCTGCAGCTAAATCACATGAGTGCATTTGTTTGAAGGTATTTCAACAGAATAAGCCATAGCAAGGCAGATAGAACAATCTTGCTGCCAGATCTCAACACACCATGACATTTATCTCTAAAGAAGGGAAGAGATAAAGGAAAGATGTAACAGAGTCTGAAACTTACACATTGCTTCAAATTTTATTCATATAGACTGCCTCTGCACCATTTCCACTGGAATAATCTGAGAAAAATATCCAGGAAAGATGTGATACTGAATCTAGCAAGATGATAATTTGGAAAGACTGTCAGCCAAAACTGTAATCTATCAAACTTCTATCTCAGCTCAAACACAGAAAACAAGCGAACATTAATTCACCCGTCTCTCTCAAAATCTCTTCAATCCTTTTGTTGGTCAAGAAGATCCTTGGGTCTGTATTCACTGCTCTTGGTCACCTACTGTGCAAAGTTCCTCATTATTCCAGAGAATTTAGTCAGAACATCTGCCAGGGGAGCGAGCATCTCAGAGTACAGGGTTCTGCTGGACTTGATTCAAATTCAGATCTCACTCATCAATGCAAATCATTCAAGACACTCAAGGTACTCTCTGCTATAGTGCTTCTCTGGAGGCTTTGAAAAAAAATCGAAGACTAAAAAAATAGATCTTTGTAGTGAAAAATTATTCACTTCTTTCCCACACAACTAGTTGGAAGGAAAATATTTTCGTCAAAATTCTAAATCTTCTGCACTCATTAACAACCCAGTAGGAGATTCTAAATCTTTACAGCATGTTTTCTAATTTGCTTGAATTCTCTGCTCAGAACATATTAAGTTTTGTTTCAAAATTTCAGTAACTATTTTACAGAAGTCTCAAAAATCCTACAGAAAATCCAAAATATTACGGAACCTTTCCCTCTCACAAGCACTCGTATGACATATAATGAAGTCTGAAGAAGGATCAAGGGCTATATCAAATAACTGCATCATAGTTTCTATTATTCAGTATTAAAAAGGTCAACAAATATAATTGTAGTGACTGCAAAGACTGTCTTGCTTACCTAGCAGTCTGTGACAGACTGCACAAATAGTAGAGGCTCTGCTTCTACAAACACTATCTGACTCCTGTAGAGTCTGGCCTTAAATCTAACAGATATTCAGATCCTGAAAACTACTCCAGTAACTCCATGTATCTATCTTCCTGCTGAAAAAGCAGAAGTTAATATACTAATAATTACCAGCAGACACACTAAGAATGAATACTTGCAAAGCCACCAGAGTACATAAGTTTCCTTCAAGAAGTACTTTACCACATAAAAAGCATGACAGGGAACAAAGACGTTTAAATAGGCTCAGCAATTTCCTTTTCCTATTTTGTCTTCCCACCTAGACTCCCCTCCACTGAAAGAAATCACACCAAAAAAGTTACATTACTCTGCCACAGTAGCTTCTGCTTTACTAGAAATACTAGTAATACTCTCTTGGAAATAGACACATAGGCAGCAGCAGCTTAGCAGAGCTCTACCAGTAACACTTGTGCTTCAGGTGATTCTTTTGTTGTTTAAATGCCTAGGACCAAGATCATCATCTCCAGCCATTTCAGATTCTGAAAGAACTAAATAGCAATACTGATGGGAGACAAAAACAGTTGATTTCACTGGCAGGCATGTGATGTAAGGATGTTGCAAGTTAAAAACTCCAATCCAGTTATGCCATTCTGTGACACCCATTCCACCCTTATTTACATGTCCCTACATCAGCTCTGAGTGTGGTCTTCAGTGGCTTTAACAGGCTGATCATACCGCTTGGGCACTTGGAGTGGCTGGAGATCCCCCACGGGCAGCCCTTCTGGGGTGAAATACTTCAGCAGCTCTTTAGCATCCAGCAGGGTCAGGGACTCCCGCTGGCTGTCTTTATGTCCCAGCAACTGCTCGGACGAATGTGCAAACAGAGGAACTCTGGAAAAAAGGAAGCAAGGAAAGATCAGTCTAAGATTCTTTTTTTTTTTTTTTTTTTTTTTTT